CTACACACAATTGCTAGCTAGTAATAATGAAGTAACCAAACGCCTACTTAATGAGACCCTGGAGGAGGTGGAAGGACGTCTAATTGAGAAGTTTGACGCCATGTTCAAAGTTCTGTTGGAGAGCAATAAGGAGCTGGTGCGATTTTTGCTGGAAAAGCAAAAAAAGAACGCAACTTACTGGAAGCCGGGGTGGACGTGGCAGCGCCGCCTTTTCCCCCATCACAAGATAAAGGTCGAACAAGACAGACCAATGTTGCCAAATTTTCCTCTTCTTCTTTTCCTGCGCCAGTGGATCTGCAAGTAGAACAGCAGCAAATCGAGCAGGAGCAGGAAGTGCAGGCACGATTGAGAACTGAAAGCGCTCTTCGACAGGTGAGAGAGGAGGGAGATAAAGAGAATATAAACAAAAACAAGGAATCAGCTGAGACTGAATTTACTTTGGTGCAATATTGAAAAAGAAGGAACCGTAAAAGCAACCAAAGTTTTGTTTTTGGACAGGCAAATTTTTCAGGGGATGAGAATTTTTCAGGCTCAATTCAGAGAGTGCTTATTTTTATCTCGGTCGCGTTAAAATAGGTGCATGTTAAAAAGCAATGTCCAGATGTTAGGGACCTTAAGGTTGTACCTTTGCCAATTAAAGGGGAAACTATCTCTTTCAAGATAAGCATCCACTCGGATTGCAAGGAAAGTTTTTCACGACCTGATATCTGGCCAAAAGGCGTTGTTTTAAGGAAATTCTGGTGGAGCAATGTACGCAAGTCCGAGAATTTTCGACGGGATCAAATGAATCAGGCCGGTGTATAACTGGGAATGGTGGTCACACTGATATTCTGATCTATTACAATAATGCTGGTGGTCTTAGAACTAAACTTAGTGAGGTTCGGAAGGATATTGAATGTTGTCACTATGATGTTATAATGCTTGCGGAATCATGGTTAACGGAACATATATATGATACAAAGCTCTGTCCAGGGCAGTTTGATTTGTTTCGTACTGATCGTTCATCAACTGGGGATCCCAGAACTCGGGGGGGGGGAGGAGTTCTGATTGCTGCCAGGAAGGATTTGCAATGCCAAAGAATAAACATTGATGTTATGACTGTTGAACAGGTTTATGTATATTTTAAAATTAAGTCATCTGAATTTGTATTGGGCTGTATCTACCTGCCACCTAGGTCTGATGTAGGCTTGTTTGTTGATGTTTGTCAATCAATCGAATCAATTTTTGATTTATATCCTAAATGTAAGTTATTGCTGGCTGGCGATTTTAATTTACCACAGGTTAAATGGGTTAATAATGAGTTTGGTCTAACCAGTGAGTGTGCGGGCAATTCTCCAGCTAATGATTTAATAGAGTGTCTAAATTATTACAATTTTCGTCAGATAAACACCATCACGAATAGCAGGAATGCCTTGCTTGACTTGGTGTTTTCAAACTTGGGTACTGTTGAGATTGACAGAGCCACCGATATGATTTTGAGTAATAGTGTTCACCATACTGCTATATCTATGGGATTCAGCCATAATGTAGAATGCAAACGTTCTAAATATAAAGAAGCACTCCTTTCTTTGATTTTAAAAGTGGCAATTACATTTCATTAAATGAATATTTGGCTAGTGTGAATTGGTGTTTGATGAATGATTTGACCCTTGAGCAGGCTGTTCTATGGTTTTATGAAACATTGTGGGAGGGGATAACTTTATATGTTCCAGTAAAGAAATTCCGAACTTCGAACTTTCCTTTGTGGTTCAACACTGAGCTGCGTAGATTGATTGTTGAAAAGAAGAAGCTACACAAAAAATATAGAGAAACGGGAGATAACTTGGATTATTTGTTGTTCTCTGAAGTGAGGGATATGTGCAAGGATTTAAGGGACTCCTCTTATAGAATGTACCTGCTCAAAACTGAAAATAACATCAATAAGAATCCTAGATCATTTTGGTCACATTTCAACAATCTCAAAAATACCTTTGTCCTTCCCTGTAACATGAGTTATAATGGCTCTACTGGCTGTAGTAATCAAGAAACTGTAGACTTGTTTGCAGACTTCTTTTCAAGTGTGTACTCGAGCCGCACCACTAACCAGGCTCCAGAATACTCATTCTCCAACGTCACTGATGTTTCTGCATACTCTGTTTCTTGTGCTGATATAATAGAACAAGTAAGAAATTCACCTGATAAGTTGTCATGTGGGCCGGATGGAATTCCCTTGCTCTTTATAAAGAAATGCCTGTATACCCTTGCGACGCCCCTGGCAAGTCTCTTCAACCATTCATTGTCAACAGGTTCTTACCCGGTTTTTTGGAAGTTCAGCTTTCTGAAACCAATATTTAAAAGTGGGTCAAGAGAAGAGGTCACGAATTACAGGGCTGTTTGCACGCAGTCTGAGATTCCTAAGTTGCTAGATTGTCTCATTACCAGGAAACTTAGCTGGGACTGCAGGTACCTTTTAAATCCGGAACAGCATGGGTTTACGGTGGGTAGGTCAACATCAACAAATTTGGTTTTGTATCAGAATTTTATTTTGAACAGCATGGAGAGGGGATTCCAAGTCGATTCTGTATACTCGGACTTTGACAGGGTTAACCATCGCCTGCTCATTAGGAAGCTTGGTTGTTTGGGGCTGAGAGGTTCAATTCTGAGTTGGTTTGATGACTTTCTTGATGGGAGAACACAGGCAGTAAGGTATGGCGGTGTTGTGTCTCGGGTCTTTGATGTTCCTTCTGGAGTTCCTCAGGGGTCTCACTGTGGACCAGTCTTGTTCAATCTGTTCATATCTGATGTGGGTAGTTCTGTTGCCCACAGCTCATTTTTGTCATTTGCAGATGACCTTAAACTTTATCGTCGGGTATCATCATTGGAAGACTCACAACTGCTGCAATATGATATCAATTCTTTTGATAAATGGTGTGGCTTGAACGAAATGGACCTCAATATCGCCAAATGTTATAGGATAACTTTTTCCAGGTTGGCCCAGTCGGTGAATTTCCCTTACACAATTAATAACACATCAATCAGGGAAGTAGCGAGCATTCGAGATTTGGGTGTGGAATTTGATTCCAAGATGTCATTTAATGGCCATGTTACCAATACTGTATCAAGGGCTGTTAGATGTTTCGACTTTATATGTAGGTCCACTACTGATATGTCAGTGAGTACATTGCGAACATTGTACTGTGCGATGGTCCGATCCTTGTTGGAATACTCATCAGTTGTTTGGTCACTCCAATATGCTGTTCACATTGCAGCTCTGGAAAGGGTTCAGAATAGATTTCTAAGGGTGGCTGCTTACAGGTTGGGCTTGGCTCATGATGAGTATACTTATGATGAGATGAGGGCTATCTTGAATGTTCATACCTTGAAGAGCAGGAGACTTCAGGCGGATCTTTCCTTTCTTTACAGACTTTTGAGAGGGTTAATTGACTGCCCGGATCTTTTGGGTCTCGTTTCTTTGAGAGCAGGAGAAAGAAGGGTGAGAGGTTCTGACCTGTTTTATGTACTATTCCATAATACTAATTATGGTATGAATGAGTCGATCTCAAGGGTGCTCAGGTTTGCCAACTCCAGGAGCCGGAGTATTGACATCTTTGGTTGTCCTTCTGTTGCTGCCTTTAAGAGGAGATTGCAACCGCTGCTTGCTGGTTAGTTTTTTAAAAATGAGTAGTATGTTTTTTGGTTAGGTATTAACTTGGGGAAGAACAGGATGTGATTGTTAGTGCTTAGATTTAGTTATTGTCAAACTATTTATTGTAAATTGTTTTACGATTGTTTTTGTAAATTGGCCTTGCCGTTAATAACAATAAATAAAATAAATAAATAAATAAAATACACTGCTGGCAATTGCCTAGTAGCAAAGCCATTGACAGAACAACATAAAATACACTGGATAAAAAAGCACATACAAGCTTCCTTTTTTTTAAATTGTCTTTCCGCTTCAATTGATCTACAACTCTCCACTAACATTGTAAGTTGTAAGCTAACGCTACCTCAAGCCTTCTCCTTAAAATATCTCATGCATAGGATGCAACCAAATTTAAACTACAAACCTTGTCTGCATTTGTTAATTTATTTGTATCTTTATTTTCAATAATTTTAATTTTGCGCTCTCCATAAATAAAGCTTCCAATAAAGCGATAAAATGTCTTATGAAACGAATATTTTATACTATTTTTTCTGTTTTGGTATTGTTTAATTTTAAAAAAAACTTTTCTTGGAAAAATGTATTCTCATATTTCCTGATTTCATGTGTTTAGGTTGGCAACACTACATGCCAAATATAGAAATCTTCTATTATTTTTTATCGCGAATGACAGTTCGATGGCCATCAATCAGCCAGTGTTACCAACCTCCGATAAGTAAAAAAGGAGTGTCACAAAGAGCTTCTTTTCGAAACTACTTTTAGTGTCGAAAAGACTTCGATATAACACCAAAATAGAAAATAGTACATTAAAATACAAGTTTCATAAAATGTCTTATGAAACAAATATTTTATACTATTTTTTCTATTTTGATATTGATTAATTAAAAAAAAAACAATTTTTTCTTGGAAATTTTATTCTCATATTTCCTGATTTCATAGTTTAGATTGGTAACACTACATGCCAAATATAGAAATCTTCTATTATAAAATCGCGAATGACAGTTTGATGGCCATCAGTCAACCAGTGTTACCAACCTCCGATAAGTAAAAAAGGAGTGTCACAAAGAGCTTCTTTTCGAAACTACTTTTAGTGTCGAAAAGACTTCGATATAACACCAAAATAGAAAAAATATTTTATGGAACCCAACTAACTTTAAGAGATGCTTAAAGTATACTTTAACAAAAAGTGTTATTTTCTTAAAGCCAACCTAACGTCATATTATGGAACTGGCCGTTAGAAAAGTACAAGTTCACATATCAAAGAAATAAACCTCGTTTTATTTATTTTAGGCTTTAGATCATTGTCAACTTCATAAAGACAATAATAATATGTCAATTCGAATAAAAGTATTACATCAATATGAAAACTCTCCTGAAAATCAATATACTAATAATATCCATATCGTTATTCAATCCTCATCTTGCCTTCGACTATTGCGAATTATGCAAACAAGGAACTCATACCATTTGCCGATATAAAGAAGGGCCGTCGGAAAATTGCATGGAATACAAAAAACCAGAGGTAACGTCCAAAGTGAAAAAGTATATTGTAGATATCCATAACGATATCAGAAACCACGTAGCTTCGGGACAAGAGACTAGAGGTACTTTGGGACGGCAACCAACAGCCTCAAACATGAACATTCTTCAGTGGGACGATGAATTAGCTGAGATAGCACAAAGATGGGCAGATCAGTGCCTAGGGTTGGATGATGAATTGCAACATGATGAATGTAGAAAAACAAACCGTTTTGATGTTGGTCAAAATGTTTTAACAGCTCTTACTCCAACACTAGAAGTTCCCGAAATCTCCATTCTCATTTTAAATTGGTACAAACAGGTTGAAAATATCTTACCATCTGATTTAGAGACATTTTCTGTGATAAAAAGAGGACAATACATTATTGGACAATACACTCAATTGATTTGGGCCGAAACTAAGTTTCTTGGATGCGGCATAGCGACATTTCGGAACAAAAATATTAGCAATTCCAAAGCAAGATACCTTCACCGATTAGTATGCGATTACGGACCTAGAGGAAATGTGATTGGCAGTTCGGTTTATAGCAAAGGTGCTCCATGCACGAAATGCCCTTCTGCCAAATGTGATTCAGTTAAAACCAGTTTATGCAGAGCAATAGAAGACTCATATAAACAAAATAAGTCTTCGACAAAGGTTAATCCATCTTTTGATCTAGAAGTTCCAATTTCGTTATTCAATACTCTCAGTCTCGGATTTATATTGCAAAATAATTTATCTGAAGTAATTAATAATGTTGTGGAGAAAGTAGATATTCATTATGATCCTAATAACCAAAATAATAATTTTATCACTAATAATAATGCTGATTTGAAAGAAATTTTAGGCCTATTAACAAAAATCATGTTACAACTGAATTTAAGCAAACCTTTGGATTTTTCAAGTGAACTAAAAACATCAAATATTTTGTATAGTAATAAGCAAATTTTCAGACTGGACTCTGGAGAAATTATCGTAGATGATTGTAGAAATCACATAAATCAGTGTCAATATTATGAAGATGATAATGGTGCCATTCAAACGGTTCTAAAAGAAAATATTTTATTGCCGAATAACATAATGTACAAACGAATTGATGGAATATGGTTTCATGGAAGATGCAGGTGCAACTACGTTTTCAGGTCAAATGGAGTTTTTGTAAATTGCATAAAAAAATTATTAATTTTAGTGACATGTTTAAATTTACTTATATAATTTAAATAATATTGGTCTATTTTGTTTCAATAAACTTCCTGGTGAAAGACGGACCACCATGGCACTAAACTATGATAGTAACCTTGACAAACATCCATTATATTTGCACAAGCTGTAATTTGTCGGCTAGGTGGTCATTTGAGTTGAATTTTCAATTCTTCATCCTCATAGATAATTATATTTTTAGTAATAGCCCCCACGTGATAGCCTTCGGGCCCATAATTATAAATTTCATACTGATATGATAAGCTATGCAATGTTTTATGGAAGCTATAATGTTTAATATATTTTCATTGCATTGTCAATTACCTAGCTCTTCTTTAATTTGTCGTTTTGACCTCATGGATTTTTGGATGTTTAAGGTTATTTATAGTATGTTCAGCCTTTCAAATTCACTGTGCTACAATTGGAGATACGATTTTTAATGGTTTTTACAAATTTATCTTTTTTTCAAAAATGGCGTAATTTCAAATTTTTCCATGTTGAGATTTTGTCTAAATGATCCGATCGTTTGGGGCAACTCTAACTCCAGAACTTTAAATCCAAAATCAAGTTTCGAGAAAGATACAGAATATTCTATGACATCAAGTACACGAAATTGAGCAAGTTAATCAAATGTTGGTAGACTTCATGAAGAAGTTGTACGACAAAAGATAAGAAGACCAAAGACAGAAAGAAAAACAAAGAACTTTTTCCCAACACCGATCTTGATGAGTTATTCGCTGAATTTAAACATGTTTTAGTGTCAAAATCTGATGAATTTCAGGAGAAGGACAGTGGATGGGCTTTATCGAAACTCCTATTTCTGGAGGTAAACATAAACAAGTTTAAACCATTAAAAGTATAAAAGTAACTAGTGCCATTTTAAACCTACCTGAAGAACAAGTGACTGTATCCTTTAGTGATATAGAATGGACCGAATTTCTGGAAATTGTCGCTTTTTTCATGGACAAGGATAAGGATGATGATGCTGCCGATGATGTTAGTGATGTGATAACAGTTTATTCTCTCTCAGAAAACTTCTCTGTTTCCTCAGCTATGTTTTTTGGGGAGAGAATGATTAAGTTGACAAGCAGAGAAGTTAATTTGTGCTTTTGTGTAGACTATATTAAATCTATTTCAAAAACCCAAGACATACTAGGTAACAAGCTAAGCTTACTCGCAGAAATTGATTTTAGAACTTTTTATGACAATATGTTAAAATATTGTAATGTAAAAACTGTTGATGAAAGTAATTGTTTAAATGTGATAAAAGAATATTGTAAGTTAAACATTTGTGAATTATCATATTTCATGTTAGAATTTATACACCTGAACCCAGAAAAAATAAAGGCAGATTTTACCAGAATATGTAATCCCCTCTATCTTTTTTATTTGACATTTTAGAAAAAAGTGTCTCAAATAAAAAAATTATGATTGAAATTAAATTTTTTGAAAAACTTAGTTTTGCATATACAGGGTTATTCAAAATAGCTGGTCGTGCTCAAAGTTTCTTATTGAATACCCTGTATATTATTCAATATCCGGATTTCACGTCAAATTCTGAGCAGATTTCATGTGATATACCCTATACCTAAGTTCAACTGTTTTGGAAATATTGACAGTTGAAAATTGACTTTTTCGCAAATTTGACAGGCTCTAAAATTTAAACGGTTAACTTTTGAGCAAAACTGGTCTTTAATTGGAATTTTCAATCAGGGATTAAATTCAAAGTTGATGTCAAATATTGCTGTCAACTGATAGTTTATAAAAATCTAAGACAAAAATGTAAGATCGTAGGATTTACAGCCTGTCAAAGTTACAAAAAGTCTATTTTCAACTGTCAATATTTCCAAAACAGTTGAACTTAGGTATAGGGTATATCACATGAAATCTGCTCAGAATTTTACGTAGAATCCGAATATCCAATAATATACACGGTATTCTATTTGAAAAAATAAATTTGGAGCACGACCAGCTTTTCTATAACACCCTGTATATGCGAAAGTGAGTTTTTCAAAAAATTTAATGTCAACCATAAAACTTTTATTTGGGACACTTTTTTCTAAAATGTCAAATAAAAAAGATAGAGGGGGTGGCATTTATAACCAATAACCCTGTACTGTAAAAAAAATGCATGAGAACATGCTTTCAATTAGGATGTAAGTGTCAATTACAGCCTAATTGGGAGCTTGGCACTATCCACTTTTTTTGACTTTGATGTGATTCGAACACACAACCTTCTGATCTGGAGTCAGACGCGCTACCAATTGCGCCACAAAGTCAATTGTCTATTTTTTATTTTCATCTATATAAGTGGTGCCCACATTAATAAGAGCTTGAAACAGTTGTCACTTTACTTAGTATCATCATGTCGGTTGATAAGTTTGGACGTTCGCAGCGCCTTAAAGCTGTTGGTGAATATAAAAACGTATTATTTCAATGACAACGTCATCAAGGAGCCCAAATTCCGTACACCTCCGATGGGAGTTATGACATGCAAAATCGAAAACTAAGCAACGTGAAAAATCCTGCTGGATCACAAGATTGTGCTACAAAATCCTACACAGATGAAAAGCTTCAAGAAATCTCAGAGACCTTCAAAAGAGATCTGCAAAACCTGCCCACCCTCACAAGAAGACTTTGAGAACAGGTTCAAGAAAATAGAGACTTCAATGAAAGACAGTCAGGATAAAGTTCAAAGTTTAATAACTAAGAATCAGTCTATTGAAAATGATATTAAAACAAAATTGGCTGTACGAATATCTGCCTTAGAAGAACAACATAAACTGTTTAATGTAACGAAAAATTATATAAGCATTGGTGACAAGAGAATAGTTAGAACTGTAAATGCTATAAACGACAACGACTTAGTCACCAAAGGTCAGGTAATCAAAATGATTAATGAGAAGGTGAAACCGCCTGTAGAACCAGCTGTGGATAAAAAAGGAAAAGGAAAGGGAAACAAAATTTAGCGCAATAATTGTCTACGTGTATTCGTTAGTCTAGTTTCAGCTTTTGAAGATGTGTGATCAATTGTTGAAATTCCTATCGGGGGAAAAAAATATAGAAGACTGTAGTGCTGAGGAGTTGAAAGATTTACCAAATGGGGTTTTTCTACAGTATGTCGTACTGCACTTTTAAATATTTAGGTAAAACTACCACTTGAACACAGGCGTGCTTTTGAGTTGCAAGTGAGACTGCCCTGTTTCATTCATTACAATAGACCTGATTGGAGAACGCACGTAGATGGACCTCCCTCCTCACAAAACCAATGTTATTTCTGTATAAGAGCTCTGGCCAAATAGTGGATGTTTCATTCATGTAACAGCAATGGTTTGGCTCAGTTTCAATTTCATCGCCCTCGCAGCAGTGGTTCAAAATGTTCTCTATATACATCCACCATCAGATGTCCGAAATATCAATGCTCAGCTGAAAACTGATAGCTATTCCAACGATTTATGGATTCCACTTTACTACTGCCTCATAGACAACGATCGTACACGTACTTTGCAAACAGTACTTCCAGAGTCGCGGAATAGATTCTACTAGTATAAATTGCAAGTGGAATTCCTGAACAACAGCATTTTAGAAAGCAGGGAATTGACAACTATCGGAATTGGTCCGCAGCAATAAACCATCTCTAAAATCCTCTGTAGAAACGAAACTTTAAACTCCACTTCAACCGATTCGAGACCTGATTGATCTATTTACTTAATCTATACCTGTTTAATAACCATAGCTGTAGTTTTTGGTATTTTATTGTCTAGAATGTTCTATGTAATTATAGGAAAAAGCAAATGTGATTATTTTAAGGTTTAATGAATAAAATTTTACCGAAAAATTGTTGTTTCATTGAATTTCATGGTCAATTGCATCAAATAACACACAAACGGGGGCACCTGAGCCTGGGAACTTTTTCGATACCGTGGGAAAATCTCTAGATCGGCAACGCCTTTGATCTGAAATTTCGGGGGTTTGACCCGGGCCAACCTCAAATTTTTGATGGTTTTCTCGGAATTTACCGAAAAATTGTTGTTTCATCGAACTTCATGGTCAATTGCATCAAATAACACACAAACGGGGGCACCTGAGCCTGGGAACTTTTTCGATACCGTGGGAAAATCTCTAGATCGGCAACGCTTTTGATCTGAAATTTCGGGGGTTTGACCCGGGCCAACCTCAAATTTTTAAGGGTTTTCCCGGAATTTGACCGCAGCGAGAAACCATCTCCAAAATGCCTAGGACACCTACAGCAGGTACGGATAATTACAAAAGGCCCCGATTAGGACACCTACAGCAGGTACCAATAATTACAAAAGCCCCCGATTCCTAGGGGTATTAGAGGTATCCGAATCTAGATGGCGCATCATACGGCAGGTACCGATAATTACAAAAGCCCCCGGGGCTATTATAGACAACTGAACTTATAGATGGCGCATCGGACACGTGCAGCAGGTACGGATAGATGGCGCGTGCAGGCGTGCTGGTAGCTCCTCCGGAAGACGGAGGTTGCAGAAACCCCATATTATACCTACTAAGAAGACCGAAAACAGAAAGAAAAAAAAGGAGGAAAAGATCGAAACAAACAAAACTCGAGAAAATTATGGCAGTGCTCATCAGATCCGTCAACCTAAAAGACTATCCCTGACAAAAAAAAAAAGAAGTGTAGTCATTGATAGACAGTATGCTTGCAGGGGGAGTTGTTGAAGTGTCTTCAAGTCTGTGGTCATCGCCAATTATACTGGTAACAAAGAAATATTGATCTACCAGATTTTGCGTCGATTACAGAAAACCTAACGATGTCTCCAAGAAAAACAGTCACTAATTACCCAGAATTGGCGAACCCTTACGACATTGGCAACGAATACTGGCAGGTGGACATTGACGAAAAAGACAAAGAGGAAACAGCCTTCTTTATTGAAAGTAGTCAATTCAAGGTAATGCCTTTTGGACTCTGTAACGCCCCCGCTACTTTCGAAAGACAATATAAATACTGTTTTGCAAAATTTCAACGGTGT